GGTGATCTCATGCGCACACACTCGCTTATCTCAAGGCATGACTTCTCAATACGTCACCACAGCAGAAAGCCCCGAACGTCCACGCGTGCGCACACGTCGATGTCAATACAACACCTTAGTTATGCGAGCAGATCAACATCGCAGCATCAAACACCAGTTGTTTTCCACCACGGGTCTGGCACTTTTTCTGGCCGCGCGCATGTTTTCGAAGAAGAAGCCATGTGATATTAGCAGTATGGCTCAGAACCCGCATTCTCGTCTCACAGCGTGGTGCGCCCGCGTTGATCTGGTATGTGCCCAGCGCACGAATCCGTAGCAACTGATACCATGCGGGCCACATGCGCGCACCGTAACGTGCGCGCGTCGAAGCCCTTCCAACATCATTTGGTTCCGAAGCATTTAGAGGTGTAGTTCCCCAATGTGGAACAGCATGTGTTAGTCAAACAAAGTACGTCTGATCTCTATAATATCTGCGCGTGCGTACTTTCTCATTACCTTCACCAGCGCCATCGCATCACCGCTGTTGCCGTCACTGTCAATCGCCGCAATTCCCGCAATCATCATCACCACAATCACTTTCATCACAGATCCATGGACATCATCATCGTCACCGTTGTCGCCAGCATCGGTACCGTCGTTGGCGTTGCCGTCGTCATCGTCAGAGTCGACTTCGTCATCGCTCGTCTCATCATCGTCGCCGTCGTTGTCGACTTTATCATAGTATCGCGCCCGCCCGAGTCACCGACCCGAACTGAAGTGTCAGCGCGCCAGCGCGGCCTCTGAGATACGCTGGGAAGTTCCCATCAGTAAGCCCTATCGCGGTCGCAACAGTTGTACCAAACCAGCTGGTCGGTCTGCGCACGAGCGTGCCCGCTCCAGCTCGGCCGCACAGATGCGAAAGCAAGTGCCAACAAGTAGCCGCCATCGTAGCCGCATGGGCATGCCAAGCAAATTGCGGTTTGGAGTATGGGATGTTCGCGCGAACAGTGGAGTAGACGGCCTCAAGTTCTCCCAGGTGGACTGCGTTCCATAATTGCACCCAAGGGGTTGCACCAAATAGGCTGCACCAAGCTTATACCACATATGTTGAATTATGCAGATTGCGCCACACAGATTGCACCACATGGGTCGCATCCAACATTTTGCACCACCCGTAGTGGTCATCGAGAGTGCAAGTACCCACTGACTGGAACCAACGGTGGCATCGTCCTCCTCCCCCTCCTCTTCTTCCTTTTCCTCCTGCCGTTTGTCTCTCTTCCCCTCCTCCTCCCCTCTCCCTCCTTCCTCCTCCTTCCCCATCTTCACCCTCCCCTCTCTCCTCCTCCCTCTCTCCTCATCCCTTCCCTCTCTTCTCCCCCCTGTCGCAGAGACGGACCGGCGCGACCAGCGCTCCGCCCGAGCAGAGTGCTCTCGGCAGGCAGCCTGTCCCGCGGCCCCGTTCCGTGCTGCGCTGTAGACGTACGTATAGTGCCGTAGGCCTTTTGGGAGCAGAGATCGGGCGCCTGTCCCACGCGCCCCCCCTCCATGCCCTGACCCTCCCAGGGAGGGAGGAGGAGGAGGAGGAGGAGGAGGAGGAGGAGGAGGAGGAGGAGGAGGAGGAGGAGGAGGAGGAGGGAGGAGGAGGAGGAGTATGAGGGAGGAGGAGGGAGGAGGAGGAGGAGGGAGGAGGGAGGGAGGAGGAGGGGGAGGAGGAGGAGGAGGAGGGGCAGAAGGAGAAGGAGAAGGATGAGGAGTTTCATCGTCCCTGTGCCTCGTCCAGCTGCTGCTCCTCCCTCCTCCCTGGCTGCTGCTGCTGCTGCTCCTCCCGATCCTGCCCTTGGCTGCTTCTCGTGCCTCCTACCCCCCTCTGGGCTCTTCTTGCCTCTCCTCCTCTTCCTGCCCATCCTTCAACATCCTTGATCATCCACCCCCTGAGCACTTGTTGCAGTTTACAGTACGCTCAAGCCAGACGTGGTGAGAAGACCCACTGCAAGAGAATGCCCCTTCATCTGTCATACCCCTTTCTGTCGGGCAGTGGTGCTTTTTTTCTGTGGCGCTGCCGCTGCATTGTGTGCGCGCCAGTGCGCGCCAGTGGGAGTCGTCATCTCCATCGCAAGGTGCAGGAACTTCATTTTTGCCATCCACGGGAAGGCTACTGCACGTGGGCGCTGGAAGAAGCATCTCTCAATTCCCACCATATTGGGGGTGCTGTGGTCGGTGTTTTGGCCGCGCGCTGGTTGCTTCCAGATCTGGGGCCCCAGAGGGGGGCCCAACCCCTCATATTCACGGCTTGCGCATTTTGGAACGCCGGCGTATTCGGCGCTCTATCTCGGAGCGTTTCAACAAGCTCTGCATTCTACCCGGGAGTGCTTGCTGTCCAGCACAGCGTCTTCGCATTCGATATCGAATGTCAGGGAGGTGTTGGTGTCCGTCGGGTCATGTTCGTCGAAGTTCCCCGCTGCAGAAGCCCACCGTCGAGCCAGACGATGACGCTCGCTGTCAGCGAATGCCAGAACCCTTCGTCAAAATCTCCTTGTGCTCCTCGGAGACCTGAAGGCATCTCCAGGCCATGGTGTCTCGGATGCGGAGCTCTGAGGAGCACCAGGTTCTTTCAAGCGTGGCGGGAGATCGAGTGCGAATATTAGATCCTGCCTGGTCGCAGACCAATTTCCGTGGCGGAGTGATCGGAGGAGCACGCGGTCTCGCCGCTTGATCACAGGCTCGATCAGCACTTTCTTGCCCCGGGTGGACACCTGCCCTTCCCCCACGGAAGCATGCTGACTATCCAGCGATGTCTATTGCACGCCGTCCTAGCACTCGTTTTTCTTCCATCGCCCTTTGCGGTCAGGAGTTCGCATGGTGTGCTGATGGTGAAAGGCATGCTCCGATACTCGTTTGCTTTTTGGTCTGTGAAAGTCTCCCGCGGCATCCGAGATAGGTCTTTTCGTTCATTATTCTCTTGCACTGGATTCTTATTCTCCGCCCTCAAACAGATGATCGTTGCGACGGCGTCGATCAAATCGCAAAACGCCGCAGGTAGAGTCCCACGCCTGCACACAAACATCTCTGCGGCCCCTGTTGCCGCCATGCAGATGCTGCTCTGGCACCCCGGTCTCGTGCGGGCCACCCCCACACGGGTGATCCAGCTTTCTTCCACCCGGCAGCCTTGCCGCAGGCCTCGGAGGGTCGCCAACAATGCACCACCACCAGTTCTGGCCTGGCCAGGGCTGGTGGTGATGTAATGTTTGGAGCTCTCCGAAGGCCCTCTGCACCCCCTGGCCTTCTTCGGCGAGCAGCCCCTCGGCGACAAGCCGACTCGCGGGCCACGGCGGCTGCAAACGGCCGGGAGATGGCCACTCCGCAGGGGCAGCTTTTTGGGAGCCTCACAGGCGCCGTCTCTACGGAGGCGCATGTCCTCGGCGTTGTCCACTGGGCGACGGCCGCCAAATCATCCGGCGTCTCGTGGACCCTCCGCGCGCCGCCGCAACGCGCCGCCGCGCCTGGGAGCTCCCTGCCGAGCTCTCGCCCCAGCGCGCCGCCCAGCAGCGCGCCCGTCTCTGAGCTCCGGCGCGCGTCGCCGTCGCTGCCGCGCGCGGCGACCTCAAGAGGAGGGCTCTACAGCGCTCGCGCGGGGCACTCCTCGCCGCCCGGCGCACCCGCGCGCGCCCTGCTCGCCGAGTGGAGGCCCTGGACGCAGTGCCCTCCACAGAGGCGGCTTCGGGCCTCCTCCCTGGCGGCGAGATGGAGACGATTTTGAAAGGGTCCGGCGACCATCCCGGTTGTCGGTCCTGGCCGCCCTCGATCTGTCGGTTGCCCAGGTCCGGAGGGGGTACGCAGTAAAGTGGTGCGCGCGGGCATACGTGGGGCTGCTTGAAGCGAAGAGGTGAGGTTATCGGCCGGCACCTCCCTCCCTCCGAGGCGGAAATTTCTACATGACCACTGCCTGGAGGATCAATTTTCGGGAACCTCGGCAGGCGGTGGACATGGGTATATTCGGGCCCCCGGGGGCCAAAACATACCTATATCCACCGCCCGCTGGGGCACCAGGGCGTCGATTCCCAGGCGGTGGATATGGACACATCCCCGCCTCGCACTTCCCCCCCAGCGGATAACCCAGGGAATCTCCGAACAGTGCAAACGATCTCATGCCCGCTTCCCTCTCCGCTTCCGTGCAGCCGGGCCGCCCCCCCCCCCCCCCTCCGACTCGGCCGCGGAGCGAGGAGGCACCCCGGCGCCTTGCCTTGCCCTGCCGGCAGCAGGGACGGCCAGCCCAGGAAGGGCCACCCCACGCCTGGCATACGATGCACGTTTGCACGATGCCCCACAAGAGCGGAGGCGGCGGACGGTGCCTTGGGCGCATGGTCGCAGTCCCGATGTGGAGAGAACTCGTACGATCGCTCGCCTGGCCACCGCATGGCCTCGAAGTGCCCGGGTGCGCGGCGACGTCTGCGCCGCTCCCTGGCCTCAGCTCGATTGCTTGGCCTCAGCGCGACGAGAACGGGGGCCCGGAGGAGGGCCGGGGACGCCGACGTCGACCGTCGACCCTGGCAGGCTGCATCGTCGTCAGTGTGTGCTGTGTGCTGTGTCTGCTGCTGCACTCCGGATCCTCCCCACTCTTCCTACCGCTCTTCCCCGCGTGCCCTCATCCCCCCGTGCGCCTCTCGCCGCTCTCCCCCTCCTCCCTCCTCCCTTCCTCCTGCCTCCATTCCTTTCTCGCATCCTTCTCATCTTTCTTCTCCTCTCCTCCCTCCACCCCCTGCTCCCTGGCCTGAGGCAGTAGGGAGGCCTGCGCTGTGTGACTTGAGTTTTTATGGAGCTCACATGAAGCTCCGCACCTCTCGCTGCTGTGACGAGGCCACTCGATGGTGACCTCGCCGCAGCCGGCGCCCGCATTCTTGCGTCTGTGCTCTCGCCCCTCCTCCTCGCCCTGCTCCCCCTCCTTGCCCTCACTGCCGCCCTCTTTCGCCCCGCTGCGTTCGCTCTTCCTCGTCCTCCTCCCCCTCTCGCGCGCGGTAGATCTCCAGCGTTCTTGGCTCAAGCGAATGTGGCTCAAGTGAGGCGGTGGCTCAAGGCTCAAGCCCGAATCACCCACCAGCATCCGCAGCGCCCGCGCGCAGCGATCCGACGCGGGCGCCGTCGCCTTCGCCACGCCCGCCGCCGGCTCCGGCTGGGCAGCCGGCTTTCGGGGCGCCGGGAGGGGCGCCTCGCTGACCGCCGCGGCGTGCGCCGCCCAGCCGGAGGTGCTCGGCGCCCGGCCTGGCGGCGCCTCGCCCTGGCTGCTCGGCTCTGCGGCCCTGGTCGCCGCGTCTGGTCGCCGCGTCCGCGGCCGGCGCCGGGAGGCCATCCCGCGGCTCGCGCCGTGCGCTGTCCGCGGCGGCGGTCGCAGTGGGGAAAGCGCCCGCGGCCACCACGGAGGACGCCCTGGAGCCCCCGCCGCCGCCGCCATTCGCCCCCGCCAAGGCCGTCGGCGTGACGGCGCCCTTGGGCTACTTCGATCCGCTCGGGTTCTGCCAGGTCGGTGACTACGAGGCCTTCCACAAGCTCCGCAGCTCCGAGCTGAAGCACGGCCGCGTGGCTATGATGGCCGCCCTCGGGACCGTGTTCCAGCTCTTCGTGAAGCTCCCCGGCTTCGAGAGCATCCCTGCCGGCCTCGGGGCGATCACTGACGGCGTCGGCATCTTCGGGTTCAGCTGCCTCATCCTTCCTGTCGTTCTCTTACTGGAGTGCGTGTATTGGCTGGACGACGATGTGTCCAAGGAGCCCGGCAATTTCGGGGACCCGGGCAACTGGGCGGGGCTCTTCGGCGCTTTCGGCGGCGGCTACAGCGACGAGATCTGGAACAAGGAGATCAACAACGGCCGCATGGCGATGATCTCGATCACGGGCATCTTCGTGGCGGAGCTAGCCACTGACAAGGACGGCATCCAGCAGTTCGGCATTGACGTCGCAGAGGCCCGGACAAGGGCCACTTCCACGGCTGGAGCGGCTTCAGTTGCATGACCACCGACGGCGGCGATTGCCAGAAGGTCTGTTCGGCGACGCCCTCGCAGCACACCTCATCATGTTCGCCGTTATCGTGGTCTGGTCCGGTTTGCTCTCCGGCGTCGCCTTCTCTCTGCTCAAGTGAATTGGCCTCCTATGCAACAACGGCGCCACGGAGCCGTCGAGCAGTCCGATTTCTAGCCGTACGACGCCTACGGCCATTTCCTTGAGGCCTTCTCTCGGGAGTGATAATTCCTCCCGTTCCACAGGGTTGGTGCTAAACCCGAAAAGAAATAAAACAAATAACAATTTGCGAAAAGCACCATGGAGGTTTGGGGTGAACCGCAGAAACCCCTGTTTCGAGCTACAGTTTGAAATTCATGGGCCGCCCTCGCCCTGCAGACAAGCCGCGGGGCTCAGGCGAGCACCCGTTGCCAGGAGAGCAACTGCATGTTTCCTCTCCTCGCTCTCTTCCTCCCTCCTCCCCTCTCTCCTGTTCCTCCGCCCCTCCTAGTGGTGTCGGGGCGAAGCGCTCGGCAACCGGGGGCGGCTACCGCGCCAGAGCCCTGGCGCCGTCCCGTCCGCGCCGGCCGCGCGTTGCTGCCCGTCTGCCGCATCAGGCCTCTTGTTTTGGTGCGGCCGCCACGTTTTAGTCTCAGTTCGCCATTTTGTCTTCGTTAGTCACCGCCTCCATGGTCGTGCACTGTCGGTCTCACGGCGTTGTGTTCTCGCGCTATTCGTTGGCGCGTGCCTTCGCCTTTGAGCTTTCTTTGTTACATCACTTCTTCACCCCAGCTCTTCCGCACATTGTACGCTGCTCCCGGACGTGTGGCTGAGGAAGTGTGGCCGCGGCGAGCTTCGGCTTTCGCCCGCCCTGCCCGCCTTGCCGGTGCAGCCTGCGTTGTGTCTGCTGCTCCCAGCGTGTCCGGCTGTGCTTGTACAGCTCGTGTCTCGTGCCAGTCGCTCTCGCAGGGCGGCCGCATTAGGCATCTCGCTTATCTTCCCTCCCTCCTTCCGTTTTTGGTTTTCTCCTTCTCTTTGCTAGTGTCCTCCTCGTTTTAGTATATGTGTTTTTGTTGCTCTGGTTGCATCCCGTCCCCGCGCACGGCTTTAGCTTGAAACGGGGGGCTCTGCGCGACGGGGTCGATGCACGTGTAAAGGCGTGCGCCCGTGGAGCAATTGTATCACATTGCCTGATTCGAGCTCTGCGCGTTTCACTCTGACGCTGGGTGGTTGGATTGACAGGTGGCTGCGTTATCTTCTTCTTCCCCCCCCAAAAAAAAGAAGATCTCCAGCGTTCTTGGCCTTCCCAGGGAAGCAGCCGAGACTGCCACCCACCGCGCGCCGTTGCCGCGAGGCCGAGCGCGCACAGTCCGCAGCAGCGTGTGCCCGCCGCCGAGCTCTGCCTCCGCGGGAGACGATTCAGGAGCGACAACACGCACACACACACACAATCGATCGTCGATTTCCCAGAAAGTATGGGAAAATATATGGGGAGGGGGGGGGGGGAAGACAGAAGCCCGGAAGATGTGGGAAAAGATGGTGAGTCCTGTTATTTGTGTCTGCTTCTTTGTCTGTCCCAGGGCCCCTTCAAGGATGAAGTAGGGCCACTGCTGTCAGGTTGACCCGCCACCAATCAAGTGGCCAGGCGGGCAACCAAGTGAGGAAGCTCGGGCAGGACGGGCCGCCCTGGGTGCGCTCGGGGAGAGGATGGAGTAGGACAAGGTTGCCACATCGGGTTCTGAAGAGCATCCGCTGAAGTTTTGGCTTCGGAGCTGGGCCTGGGTACGCTCGCTGACCTTCGCTGTCCCCATACGCCCGATCTGAAACGCAACACGTGCCATGCAAAACGTCCGTGTCAATACGTTGCGTGTTGGCTCAGCGCACGGGCCCATGTTTGGGCGAACGTATTTCGTCAGACATACGTTTTCAGTCTACGTGTTGAGTTCCGTAGCAGTGCGCTACGTGTTGCGTGTTGCGCATCGGGGCAGCTAAGTCGTTGTCTTGTTGTCGGGAGCCGTGATAGTGTTTGTTGTGTGCACTCAGCACTTGGGAGCGGCGTGAACCGCACAGCACGATCTACATGCGTGCTGTTCGTGTCGTGTCGACGCGGCGGCGACTCCAGCGCGGGCGTTCAAGGTTGAACGCCGCCAGTAATACAGCATCGGCCTCCTTTGAATGCTCCGAGCAGTCGGAAGGCCGCGACCGTTCAAGGTTGGACGACCCACGAAGTGTCAGAGACCAACGCACGAGTGGTCACGACACGAACCGGCCGTGAAGGAGGCAAAGACGGGAGGTCCTCATGCGCGCCGATATGAGGGGGAGGGGGGGGGGGGCTCGGGGGGCGGGGAAGCATCGACGTCCTGTCGCACGTTATTCGCTGATCGTGGCCTGGGTACTCCAACTGGCCTGAGGACTTCAGGTTTCCCTGTCGGGGGCCTGTCGCCGATCTATCGGCGATGATTCCAAGCCACTGGCCCCTCCCCTGAGCTGGTCCCCTCTTTGGCAAATCCCCCGGGGCCCCTCTGCCGATGAGGTCGCGCGTTGTTCAATAGTTGTACTTTCCAGCATGCATGTCCGCCCCGTCATGATACGGGACGATGTTCGCGCGCTGATGATCCGACGTGAATCCGCCGTGCGTCCGACGTGAATTGGACCTCGAGGCCTCCAGGTTTTGTATCCACCACTCAGCATCCCCGTTGCCCCAGTGGTCGCTGTCTCGCCCACTCCCGTCAGCGGAGCGTTGCTTGATCGTTGCGCTGCCTGCATGCGACAGTCTCGTGTCTTTCGCAGGGAGAGGTGGTAACGCCCCGCCGCACGGGCATAAGTTCAGACACCCGAGCTTGTTACCAATGGCTTTTGAGGAAGAACGAGAACTCGGCGTCACCGTTGCCTTCCTCCCTTTGGGCCTGTCCTGCACCCCTCCCTGCCCTGCCCCTGCGCGGGGCCTGCGGTGACGGCGTGGCCGCCAGCGCGCCCCGCGCGGGGTCAGCCTCGAGGGCCTCTCGCGCCGCTGGCCAGACCTGCTCCGCTGCCCGAGATGCTTTTCCGTTGCCTCCGGCCGTTGGCGGAGAAAGATGGCGATGATCTCCTGCCCCTCCTGTCGGTATCGTTTAACCCATCCCCATCCCCATCCTCATCCCCTTCGAGACCCCCACCAAATCACACCCCCAGTTGGGGATACACATCTCGAAACCCGAAGGGAACGACCTATGTCCCCACCTAGGGGGGGAAATCGGCCAGTGGGGCCCAGGCCACGCCGCTGGGGATGGGGATCGGTTCAACGATACTCCTCTTGCCCTCCTTCGTGGGCGAACAACATGCGCGAAGCCACGGCCTCGCGGGCCGGCCCCTGGGCCGCGATCCCGCGGGTGCGGGGCGTTCCATTGCGCAGCTGCCCCGCGCGGAACGCATCGGTGCGACCGCGCATCTGCGGGATCGCGCCCCGGAATCCAGACCGCGAGGGTTCGGGCGTTGCGCAGTGGGAGGGGGGGGGGGGGGGGGGGGGCGATCGTGGGGGGGGGGGGGGGACACGTGTGCACCCTTCGAGCACCTATAAGGATCCCTAAAGGGGCCCCCTGGAGCCCACACGGGGCACGCCAGGCGCACGTCTCTTCCCCCCGACATCTGCCACCTCCTCTTGCGGCAGTGCGGCGGCGGCTCCGGCGCGGGCGTTCCAGGCCAAACGCAGTCAGTGGCCTATACTCGACAGGTGTCGAGCGACTTGCGCTGTCGGAGAGCCCCGATCGCTCAGGGTTGAAGGATCCACTCGGCGTCAGAAGTCAACGCCCGCGACGTCGCGACGCGATCAAGCCGCAAGCACCACCCGAGAGCGCGCGGATGCGGATATGTTTGCCGCCCGTGTCTCTTGGGCCTGCGGTGAGGGGGGGTCGCCTTTGGGCCTCTTGGGTGCCTTTCGGGGTGTCGGCGACCTCGGGGGTGATCCTTGGGCGGAGGGCTCGAAATGGCAGCTCGGGTTCCCTCTCGAAGGCCCATCGGGCCGTCTTCGGGGCCTCTTGACCCGTCTAGGGGGCCTGTAGCTCATGACAGCAAGCGCGATTATAGGCCGAGTGTTTCCATCTTGAGTCCCGACGCCTCAGAGCTTGCGTCCCAGCGCCGCTCTGACCCGCATCGACGCTCCCAGTATACACCCCAAATCTCGCAGAATGTCACACTATCAGTGCCAGTGGCTACACGTAGCAGCCGTAGGCCTTCGGTGGGGGGCAGTATCCGCCCCCTGCGGGCGCGGCCGACGACGACGACGACGACGACAACGACGACGTCGACGACGACGTCGACGACAACGACAACGACGATGACGACGACGACGACGACGACGACGACGACGACGACGACGACGACGACGACGACGACGACGACGGCTGCTGGGGGGCGTCCACCGTCCACCGGCCCTTGCCGTGCCCATCCCGGGGGCCCGGGGGCCGTGCGCGCGCCTCCCCAGCCAGGCCGGGAGGGCGCACATGCACCGAGCTGCCAGGGGCCAGGATGGGCACGGACGAGGATCGCCTGGCGGGTGGCCCCTGGGCACAGCAGAAGCGGGAAGAAGCGGGAAGGGAGGGCGAGGGGGAGGAGGAGGAGGAGGAAGAGGAGGAGGAAGAGGAGGAGGAGGAGCAGGAGGAGGAGGAGCAGGAGGAGTGGGAGGAGGAGCAGGAGGAGGAGGAGGAGCAGGAGGAGTGGGAGGAGGAGGAGGAGGAGGAGGAAGAGGAGGAGGAGGAGGCGGAGGAGGAGGAGGAGGAGGAGGAGAAGGAGGAGGAGGAGGAGGAGGAAGAAGAAGAAGAGGAGGAGGAGGAGGAGAAAGAGGAGAGGCGCGAAGGGGGGGAGAGGAAGCCGCGGGCGGCGGAGCACGCTCCGAGCATGCGGTCTTTGCGCGCGGGTGCGCTCTGGACTTTTTCGATGCGGGGTCCCCGGAAGTCCCCGACCCCTTGTCCTCGGGCGGGCGGTGCCGGGGGCTGGCCTGAATCTGGGGGGGGTGAAGAAAATGGCCGTATATATAGGCCCTGTAGGGCCCCGTTTGGAGCCAGCAGGTGCCCCAAAGGACCCCTTCGGGGCCCTGTTCTTCACCCTCCCAGTGGGGTCACCCCCCATCACCACCCGCCCGAGATCGGTGAGTTTGATCGCCCAACGTGGGTACGCACATGATAGATGGGTGCGATACCCCACAAAGAGTGTTGTCTAAAGTCGAAAGCGGCAGCTTGTGGGCAGGCGGCCTTGCGTCTCAAAGGGACAACGCCCGCGACAACCCCGACAGCGAATCCTGTTCGCAATGGACAGGAACCGCTGCTGGCCTTCGTACCCATGAGATCCGTACCCCTGTCGACCGTACCGAGTGAGGTGGTCAGCTGATTTTCTGGCGAGGCGACCTCCGACGCGCAAGCTAGAGCGCGCCCTCCACGAGGCAACAAAGTCCCCAGGTGATCGTTTTCTTATTCGTTGTTTTGCAGATCGGCGCGGGTCCTCGCCCCCCCCTCCCCCCCCACCCCTGGAGTAGATCTCTGCTGTTTGGGGCGCCTGCTTCGAGCAGGTGGAGCCTCCTCCACAAGACGCACTGCTGCCAACAGTCGCATGAAGCAGAGGTCCGGAGCCAGACCCCCCTCCCCCCCCTTCCGCCTCAATGCCGAAACGCCGAATAAGAAAACGCTCACCAGTGCGGGTGCATCTGCGGGGCCCGCCCTGTATCCGCAGAAGGCATCCATAAACCACCGTTTCCGGCCCGGTCCATCATAGGCGCGTGGCGGTCCCCGGCGGCGCGCCCAAGGCGGTGTCGTGTGGGGGGCGGCCTCCTAAGAGGGCGAGAGGGGCTCTTAGAAGACATGGTGGGGCCTTCTTAGAAGCACCCCTGACTTCCAAGACGGCTTCTTGGGAATATCAGGGCCCTTCTGGGGAGGACCATGCTCTCTCAGAAGGGCCACGTCTCCTTCGAAGGCTAGCCCCCTCTCGCGCCATCCCCTTGCTCGTGCCACCAAGCAGAGGCACCCCTGGCCTCGGACGGGAGGGCGTGCCTGGGCCTCTGACGTCATTTCGCCCTCAAGACGGATCCCTGGAGGTCCCGAAACTTTTCCCAGGACAGGCTTTTCATCCAGGGTGTTTTGCTGTTGACGGCCCTGGGGTCCGTGAAGGACCCCCGGAGGTCAAAAAAATTACCAACCACGTTCCGTGTCTTGTTTTTGTGGCACGACGCGATGAGGTGGGGCCGTAATTACGCCATGCCCCGGCCCAGGATGGCTCTGGCCTGGTATCGTAGTGGTGCATCCGTGCCAGGCGCTAGATCATGTTCCAGGGGGGAAAAACCACCGGACCTGACAATTGGACGTTTACTAAATAGCCCTGCCCTTGTTGTTTCCTTCTTTGGGTGCGTTTACTAAACGGCTTCGCGTGTCGGGGTGGTTATGATCGGGGTGGATTTTCTGCCCTCTACACGTACCCTCCTGTTGAAAAC